TGAGATCATTTTATTTACTGCCTTAAACATTCCTCCACAGACAAAAAAAAACTGGATGACAAACATACAAGTAGCAACAACTTCAGTCAGCCCATGATGGACAAGGACAGCACAGCCTTGACTGCACCTGAGTGATACTTGATGGCACAGAAAAGACTCCACTCCAGGCTTAATGACAAGCAGCATGAACTGGTAGAGATGTTTGCTATTAAAATAACTTATTTCTGGCTCTGTATTTATCTGCAGATAACATCAGTGAGACTGTGCTTTTTTTCTCCTCCTGATGGTTGATGCTGCCATCAACTCACTTGACCCATTCACCTACCACAGCCAACCCACAGGGGGACTTCTGCAATAGGGCCACCTCCTCCAGCTTCTCACAGATCCACCACAAACTGCAACATGCTGAAACGGCTGTTGTCACTCAACGTACAGTTGCAGCCAAAGACCCAGTCAGTGTGACTCCTCCAGGATTACTCTTCTCAATCTGTTTCACTCCAAGGGTGAAAAAAAAAATCAATGCTTTGCATTCACTTTCTTTTTTCTTTCTTCCCTTTTCTACGTCGAAGGAAATGAAGCAACATCCATTCCAATTATTACTACTATCTAAAGCCTTTCCAATAACGAGGCATATGGACAGCTAAACACGCACAAACTAATCAGCTTTTACTGCCTGATAAAGCGTCACACTTGTCGTGTTTCCTGATCAGCCAAGCTTATTAGTTCACTTCACATGACAGTCACAAATTTGCATCTATTATCCACTGTCTGAAGATTTAAGAGCTTCCTGTTCTGCAGAGATTATACATCAGTGGAAACAATTCTTAAGGGAGAGAAAAGAATATATTAGTTCAGTGCTAGTTTGCTGGGCAGGCCTTGTTGGATTCATCACTTTAGTCTACTGCACTGACTGAAACCAATGCAGATGGTTCTACCCAACTCCCTCAGAACTGAATGGCACTGTACTAGTAATAATAGCGCTGAACACTCTTCTGTATCCTTACGAACATAAAGCAAATGAGACTTCTTTTTCTTTGGTTGAATAATAGTTCATTATATGCTCATAAAGTCAAGTGGGCACCTGAGCAGATGCGAAGTACCTCAAGGCAGCACCGTGTTTAACAATTTCAGAAACAGCTTCCTCACACCCTGCCATTGCTGTGTCACCAGAGGTGCAGACGCAGAAGGAGGGAGCAGGACAGCACAGGTTCTCTGTGGTGCCCCACTCCAGCACGTAACAGACACCCAACTGCTCATCTCAAGCACATAGCTTTAGATACTAAACTCAATCACCAAAAATAAATCAGAGATAATCTTCATTTACACATTCCAAGTAGGACAAACAATAAGTGGAAATCGGAGCCAAATACTTTCCCTTGCAAACATTAGGGTTTGAGTCTTATATTGTTGATTCAATCTGGCTCCATTTCCTTTCCCAATAATGCCAGTTTCTTTCTCATTATTACCTCCAGCCAGAAAAAAAGAAAAAAAAGGGAAAAAAAAGGCTGATAGTTATTCCAGCCATGAATCAGCAAACAGAGGAGAGTACATGAACATTCAGGATTGCATCTTCCCTGAAGAGATTAATTGTAGCAAGCTTGCCTGGCCTTCTGCCACCTTGTACTCCTGCATAACAATCTATGCACTACCTTTTGCCACCCTGCCCCTCAAAATGGGCATGGATAGCTGGTGTAAGTGTGCTCTCTAACAAGTCAGAAAGAGGGAATTAGCTGCCCTTTACTTTCTGCTCAGGTCAGCTAATTCTCAAGAGTGGTCAGACAAGCTGCAGGGGGAGAGCTGTATGAAAATCACATCAGGCAGACAGATTGGTGAGTCTATTATCAGTGTCTTCCACATTGCCTGAAAATCCAGAGCGTGAGGCAGGAGCAAGGAGAGAGGGGCAAAGGGAGCAGTGAGGCTTGGTACTGTATGAACAGCCCTTCCACCAACATGCAGCAAGGGAAAGGAGAGCTGCACAGTTAAATTCATTCTCTTGTTGAATGGGGCTACAGATAGAAAGAATCAAAAAGTGAGATGTTAACTGTCAGTGCAATTCTCAGTTGCATTTACAATGAATACCTAAGAGCTGGGCCCTTTCTCTAACTCCCTTCCGTATTTCTAATAAGATACTCAGAGTCACATCTGAGAAGAACAGTGTGCACAACAAAAAGCTCAACGTGCTAAAAGCGATGCATTTCAATAAACACGTTAAGGCTCTGTTCTGCTCACAAGGAAGAAAAATTGCTTTTCCTGGTGACACCAAGCAAAGTTTTTGCAGGTAGGCCAATAGTCATATATAGAAAGGAAAGCTGACATCACCCAGCTGGTGAAGGGAATCTCCGACTAAACAGCACTCCTCCTCAAGAAGGAGCCTAGCTCCAAGAGACACTCTCCCGTCCATGGCTGGCCCTTACGTGAGCCCAGAGTGGTTGCACCCTCGGTCCCCCCTTCTGGTCACTTGGGAAGCACAGGTGCAAACAATTTATCTACGCTCCCTGGGCAGCCACAGCCCTTCACCAGATGCTCAATCACCCGCTCAAGCCCTAACAGCTCCCCTACAGGCACCTACTGACATTTATTCAAGTTCTGACAACATGGGTGCTGATGATGAATAAGCTCACTTATTTGGGCTAATGCTGCAATCCTCTCACCCTCACATGTTCCAAACTTCACAGATATTCAGCAAATCCCCAAAATATCCCAAGCATATCATCCCATAAAGGTCAGCAATCCTACTCCTGGTCTAATATTCACGAACCAATTCAAAAGCTATAGAAACCACAAAGCACCTGTTGGCATCCACTGGTCACCAGGATTTCTGTAAAAAGCACAAATTCTCCATAATAGACCATATTTATGTATGTATGTATTAATAATCAGTAATGAAGAGCAAAACACAGAAATACCTAATTTGTTCACAGCTGTCAACTACTTGAAGCTTGAATGACAAACAAAGAAGTACTGAGAAAGCTGCAGCAATTTTGTTGTGATACTTGCATGCTCTGTGAGATACCTCTTCCAAAAACATGCTTGTCATTCATAAAGACAGGGCCATGTAATCAATGGAACAAGAGATACGTTAACTGTGAAAGACACCATGTGAACAAAATCTTTTTTGTCCCTAAATTCCAAAAGAGAAAGATGGAAGACAATTCTCTCTGACTTAGTGACTGGGAAGCAGAGACTTCTTTGTGACCTGCACAGGTCTAGGCAGCAGCCAGCAGCCTGTTGTCTCAGTCCTGTGCACCTGCACTTTATTCTTCACATCCTCCTGCACCTGAGACCACTAAGTACTTAGAAGAAAATAAGTATTTATAAGAGAAGGACATGAAGTGAGAAAAACAGACAAAATCTTTTACAAACTAGAAAACAAACTGTCCCTGCTGTTACATAGTCTGTAACCAAGGGTACTGCGCCATTCTCTCAGGTCTTTCTCTCCCAAACTGCTTAATTCCACAGGGGGATTTAGCTTTACAGGTCTAATTCTATCTGTGAAGGTAACAAAAGAAAAACTGTTCATTGAGCCCATTTCCCTTTATGGCTCTGCTCAGCCTCTCAAGCCAAGCTCCACCCTGGAGAAGAGGCACTCCAATCCCTATGGATAGTGAAAATGCAGCCAAATACAAGCCCAATTTAATGGCAACTATTTAAATCACTGTAAAATAAAGTGTTTTCTCAGGAACATAATGAAATAAAATACAAGTCAGAACTATTTTTTTCTCAAGTAAACCAACTGGAAGAGTAGATAATCCCATTAATGTAAAGCACTGAAAATAGCTGAAAGAGGGATTCCAAGAGCTGCAAACACAATGCACACTGCAGAAGATGGAGCAGCAGCAGATTACCCATCCCATCCCTATTTTCTAATGGTGTATAATTAGTGGTTCCTTAAAGAAGCTGCACATGGCATTTATTCAAACTAAGCTTGGGTTCTGTTTACCAAAGGCACAGAGCTTCATTCTTATCTCAAACACATTGCAATGCCTGGATATGCCCTTCCTTAGGAGTGTGTTCTCAAATAAGTACCATACCACATTTCAACAGCAGTAGGCTTGTTCTCTGAAAAACCTTCTAGAATGTCACAGGAAGGAGTTTTAGGGGAAAAAAAAAATGTTTGTGTGTGAAATGTTAAAAGGGATGCATAATACCAAGAGCGTATTTGCTAAGGAAGCTGGCTGATTTATTTGAATATTTGCACAGCTTTTGCAGCAAATCTCCTTCGCTGCTGCTTCTGCATTTTCAGATCAGGGAAAAACACACGCACATACAAAATAAATAAATACACACACACACAAATGGAGGAAACAATTCCAGCCTCAAAGGAGTAAAGCTTAAAGAAAAAAAAGCTTAAAAATACATACACACAGGAAGAACTTAAAAAAAAAAAACCTGAGTAAGGAACTAGTTTTATGCCATTATAGATCTTATTGCAGCAGAGTTAGGATAAACAACACCATGTAAAATATCATATGGCTAACCACCAGCAAAAAAAAAGTTATACGACTATATACCTTTCAGGTGAAGATCTTAACAGTGTGCTAAAAGTTCAGAAGTACACCATGAATTGAATATATGTCCATAACCCATTAAGTCACCTCACCACTCACGTTTCCAACTATCTCAATTAATCAAGAAACATTTTTTCCCCTGCCAATCTCAGCAGGTGAATGCCTACAACAAATTGAAGGCGCACATATATGTACCTGTGGCTGAACATTTCTCCTAAGAAATACATTACAATTTCAAAAACTTTTTTACTCCAAGCAGTTCCCTATAAGCAGAAACACAAATGAATTTGTAGCTAAAAGCAAGTAGTGCAACCTCATACCATCAGGTCTTGGTAAAAGAGTCTGAATGCCATTTTTTCCCCTGTATTGCCTATACAATACACAAGGAGCAAGACAAATCAAGCATGAATTTTGAAAGAGAAAATCTTCACTTACTGTGCGTTGGGCATATGTCAAAAGTACATCAGAAGTCACAAATAGAAGGATGCCTACCTTATGAATCCTTAGTTAACTGAGAAAGAAGCAGGAATCTCCTGTCTTAGTTCCATGAAGACAGAATCTCTCTGGACTGAGGTAGAACTCTTAAACCTGGAAAAGAAAATTAAAACAAAGATGTGAGTCAACGATAAGACATGACTGTCTTTGAGGCTGAGTGACAGCTAAGCAGAACTTGAGAATCAGCATTTTGGATGCATCTTGGTTCTTCATCTATGAAATAAGATGAATTTACCTGCTTTATGGACAGCAGTAGTAATTATAGACAAAGCACTAAGATAATACAACACCATCAGCCATGAATACCTATGAAAACCTGGAATCTTGCAAACTGAATATTAGCATACAACAAGTTATGTTGGATTATGCAGAGAACTCATTAAAATTAGTTCTGTTTAATAATATGTTAAAATCTCTCTACATAGCAAATTTTAAGACCAATTAATGACTGTTTGCTTCAAGACGCACTACAACTACTGTTGCTCCAATTACTGTTACAGCAATGGCATTCAAGAAGCAAGCCAGGTGCAAACAGTTTGCCTGTTCTCCCTGGGTCAGTCACACCCCTTCACCATGTGCTTGATCACCAGCTCAAGCCACGACCTAACAGTTCCCCTACATGGTGACTATGTTTAAAAATAGTGTTTTGTAGCTGAAAATTTGCTCTATCAAATAGCTTTTTGTTGTATTCTTTGTACCTGTTGTAATTTCCATGGAAATAAATAGGAGGCATTACTTTTGGAGCAACCTACGTAGCAGAAGCTATTAATTAATGAACGCGTTCACTTACATGCTGATTGCAATAGAGCCTCAGGTGCTCTCAACTGACAGCAGACAACAAAGCAGCTTGAGATGCTCTGTTAGGACTGATGGACCTGAATTCTGCTCTCATTGTAGCATTAGATCCTACAGCTACTGTGGGCCAGCTGTTTTTTACAAAGAAAAAAGAGGTAGCACAGCACCCCTCTAGGATTACACTCAGCATGACAAGCTCGTTTATTCCCAGCAGCTGTTTACCACTCTGTATCTTTCCTGCAGCAAGTAAGACAAAAGCAGAATTTGACTGCAGAATGGCTTGAATGCTACAATAGAAATGGGGCATCGGAGGACCTAGATTCTCTTCACAAACCAAGTGCGAGACTTGAGTGAGGCTTTCAGCATCTTCTTTCTCTCGTGCACCTCAGTTATCCTCTACAGAAACCTGAGATACTCAGATGAAGTATTATACCCTACTGTTGATCCATGTGAAATATCAGCTGTCTGAGATCTCAGGAAAGAAGGGCAACAGATCATCAATTTGCAATTTTGCTCATTTTCAGTGAGGAAATTTCCTGTCTCTCTTCTACCTGGTAAGGGCATCCTACTGGAACCAGTCTTCATCAATGATGGCAATAAGAAGCTGAAGTCACTAAAGTTTCACCATGCACTTGGTGCCAAGTTTATAGCTTGCAAAGTGTGAAACTAAAAACAAAGTTATCACAAAAACATATTCAAGGACTGTTCCCTTTCACTGCAGCCCCCTAAGCTGCAAGGTATCATCATATGTATCATCAGAGATCAGATTTATTATTATTTTGAGTAACTCAGGGTTGATTATTCAGAGCGGAAGAAATACAATCAGTTTGGGCTTACAGGAGAACCCACTGAGGAGGCTGAGAGCAGCACCACTGCAACAGCTCAGGCAGGGCCAATGCCCACCTGGGAGTCTGTCAGGGCATAGCATTCAGCAGGCACTGCTTCCCTAGGGCATAGCATTCAGCCTCAGAACCAGCCAGGCTATTTGCTTTCTGCTTCTGCAGGAATTGGCCCTACCTGCCCATTGTCACCTGGAGAAATTCACCCCTTCTCCGGCACACTCTTGGAGCTGTACCTAAAGTCTGAAGGAGGAGAAAAAGGTAACAGGCTTTTTTTTGGAAGAAAAGAGAAGTAGTATATTAGTGTACATATATATACACACAAATGTGAATGTATATATTTGCCATGTATTTGACTTACTGTGAGACTGTTATCCCTAATAAAAATGCTGAGAGACACAGTCATCTTAACAGTCACCTTGCAGGAAATCACGTTTTGGATTTGGAGGATCTGGATTTATAGAGTCATTCTATTTTCACTACATTTTTCATGTGTTTCATAAAGCCAAACATGGAGTAATTTATTGCTTGTCTAGCATCCTTCATACCAAAAAGATTACAAAAATGTTTCACTCCCAATTAGAGCTAACCAGCTGGCATCAACCAGCCTCACTCAAAGGCAGCTCAAAGGTAGCAGAGCTAATAAGTTGGACTCACAAACTCAGTTCATGGACAGATGAAAGTTCTTAAAGTTCAATTACTTTTGCATGGCCTGAAGTCTCACCATCTTCCCACTAACCAAAGCCTTCTCAGGAAGAAGTATCTGAAAGCTGAATAGCTCAGCAAACGTGCCTTAAAATAAAAGCTGTTTAGCCAAGTTGGCTTAGAAAAAAATATGTCATACAGCATATCCAGGAGCAGGACACAGAGATGAAAAAGCTGAATGCTCTCCACCTCTAGCATCCTCAAAATAGCAAGTGTGGGACAATGAGCATGGTTAGAGTCATAAGATAAGAGAAATAGGCTGGGGCACCACAGCAGGGAGGTTTTTAAATGAGCACAATCATTTGTATTTGACTTTGAAGAGAAATGATATGAATACCCTTAGCCTGGTGTGGAGATATTTTTATTGCTTGACTTTTACATGAACTTATCAAGCTAGTATTTGGACAGTAAAAATACATTGCAGAGATACATCAGTATGTCTGCAGTGCATCTGGCAGGGACTTGCAGCCTCTCTGTTCCAAGCCTCAGGCAATAATGTCCTGGGTGACAAGTTTTTGTGCTGAAGCATGAAACATCCACTGGATTTATGCAATTCACAATGTTCATGTGCTGACTTCAAAATCCATGAAGTATAGATGGCACTGAGATTTTTTTCCCCCAAAAAAAGAAAGGGTTATTCTTCTTCTTTTAGAAGATGGCTGGAGCCACAGACAATGCATGATGCTATGAAGTCTGAGCTTTAATTAGCGAGATAAAGAAACGCATGTCTTCTGTTAAAAGGGAAGGTTGTATTGAATGTGTGACAATGAAACCGCTTCCAGGACAACCGCTGGAGCTGTTCCTGCAAGGAGCTCTGGAGAAGGAAGATAAAGAGCTCAATCTCCACAAACACTGGCTTTTTGCCATCTTTGCACTTTTGTGACTCATCTCCTACTGATTTCAGTAGGAAACAGAAACCTTTAATGTAAATAATACTTCTCATGGAGTTTTAACAAGGGCACCTTCCAATGCTAAATCCAAAACTAGTAAATTCTTTAAAATTAGTAATACTGAGGAAAGAAAGGGATGCTCAGGTGGAACTTTTCTGGGACTAGTGTCACATGAATAAAGTATTATAACCCATGAAAGAGAAGGGGCATTTGGAACAGAGCGGGTTTAGTTCTTGCAAGTTCCACTACAAAGAGTTAAAACAGAGACTTCCTCATTTAATAGAGACCCATACAACAATATGCCAATCAGTGCCTCATGCTTTGGGTTTGAAATGAACCTTTGTCCAGCACAAGCAGAGAACAGCGTAAGCAGCACAATTCAGTCTTCTTCCCTGGCACATGGCAAGCAGCAAGCAAACCCTAAATCCAGGGCAAAAAGTCTCAGCAAGCAGCACAATTATCTTTGCACCAGAGCTCCTGTATGTTTCTCTCTCTGAGAAAAAGAGATCACAAGATCTGGGCAAATCCTTCCCTAGAGCACTGACAAACAAGGTTGAAATGACCCCTGCTGCAGGAAAACATAAACATGCAAAAGAGAACACAAAAATCTTACTTTTAAAATGACAGCCTGTGTTTTCTAGCCTATAGACTTCAAATAATAGATTTTCAAAAGCTGATGTCTGAAAGAACGAATAATGTTATCAATGCAACTTAAAAAAAGAAAAATCTAAAAAATAATATAATAATGGCTCAGCTAAGGACCAGCTTGGAAGTACAACCTCAGGGGAATCTGCTTTTTCATGAAATTTTGGAGATGTGCATAAAAACAGATGTTTAGACTATGTATGTAGTATTGTGTGGAATGAAGTACCAGTAAAAAACTCTTCAGCAGTACCCATTTACTGCTGCAAAGAATAAGAGCTGACAATATGGATGCTTAAAAACAAGATTTACCTGAACCTCAGCAAAACTTCTCCTGCTTCCAGTGCGTTTTCCATTCCATCCTCCTCACCTCAGGAGCTACAACTGCAGGCACCCCAGAAAGCATAAGGATGCTCTTCTTAAAATTTACTTCATGTAAGGATTCTACTTTTCAGACTTGGAACTCAACTTCAGTGCAAATTTTTTTTAGAAGTGATGCTGCAGATTGGCATTCATAAAGCAAAGGGGAGTTTCTAATGGCTGCTGCTACAAACTGTGGGCAGAGCTGAGCTTCCCAGGCTGGTAGCAAACCAGCATTACTGTTTCCAAAGTTGTTACTTCTTACACATATCTCTGTGTCCCTGCCTGCTGAGCAGTTTCCCTTCACCACGGGAGCCCCTGTGGTTAAGCAGTCCTTGAACCCAGAGCAACGAGCTGCAGCAGAGGGGATTTCCAGCAGGGCTAAGCTGGTGCACAGACTGAATCCCGCCAACAAAAGCACGATGTATCGCTGTCGTGTGGAGAGACATCACTATCTCAGTCTCAGCATCCTCAAGTTTGTTTAATTCTCACATTTTAATGTCACAATTATTCGCACTATTCCACCTGATCTTGTAATTATTTTTTTAAAGCAACAACAAAAAACCACTAACAAGATCAAGCCCATCAAATACAAACGGAATATTTCAGCATACTACCCCCTCCCCTTTTGCAAGTTAGTGCATCACTTGCAGCCTTGCTTTGATTTCCCTGACGTAAGGATCATCCAATTTGCTGCAATGCTGCACAAAATAAATCACTAACCTCTTAAAACAACAAAAGGAGGGTATTTAATGAGTCAAAGACAATATTGTATTACCAAAGCAAAGATTAGAGGAACTGAATTGTTCCTTCAAAATAAAATTTGAAAGCTTTACAGAACCCAAAAAGGAAAGAAAAAAAAAAAAAAAAAAAGCAAAAAGCCATACATAAAGAAAATACAATTACTGCAACCATAGAAATACTGATGTTATTGGTAGAAAACCTAGCAGGGCTTTTTGAGAGAACACCACTGAATGAAAGCAAGAGAAGCAAAAACCAGATGAAAGGAAGAAAAGAAGAGACAGATGAAAGAAAAGATGAGAGCTGGAGGGGTCATTGCCTTCATCTAGACTTGCTAACTTCACTGTTCAGAAAACAAAAGCAGTGACTCTTCTTCCCAAAATTGTCTCTAAGGACTCTGTAGCCATTTGATGATTTAAAAATATACATATATGTGATTTGAAGAAAAAACTGTATTTTTTAATGTCACTCAGCAGCAGTTCTGCAGCTGGGGATTTCTGTTCATAGAATGATTTGAATTTGTTTCTGCTCTAGTTATTTCACTACAACCATAGGATTTATTACATGGTAATTCCCCAAGCTCTTATAAATCTATTTGTTGTTTTGTTTGCAGTTTTTTTCTTTTCCTATGATTCCAGTCTGGCAACAAATTTTCCATATAAAATTTAATCTATTGTATCTCACTTTTGCATAATCAGATCATTAAAATGCATTGCTAATATGTAAATCTGAGCTAACCTCATTACCATAATTATGCTCCATAATTATTGAATAAACAAGCATTTTAGGAGTTTTGAAGTCTGCTGAGAATGCTTTTTGACTTGGGAGTGGCCTTAATTATGTGCTCCCTAATCATTATGATAAACCTTTGTGACAGCTCTGTTACGTGACCATTTTAAACGCTGCTCCTAATCTGCACAGCAAGGACCAAAGGTGGATGTGCTGAGAGCACGGCAGACATCATCCCCCAGTCACAGCCCAACTGCCACATTCCACACAATTAGTATTACTGCTTAATTTATAGACAGTACTCTGCTCACAAGCCTCCACACACTTTAAGGAATGACAAGGGATGAGTCAAATTTTGCCTTTTCCTCTGGAAGCAGTGGAATTAGTGAGCAAACATCTCTGTGCGTGGCCTAAGTTTATTGGATGGAAATTGTCCTGCAATAACACACTCGTCATCATGAACTTTACACCAGTACTGCATGGATGCCTGATGAAACTGCTTTCAAAAACAATGACTAGTAAGTTTTTGGGGTTTTTTTGGTTTCTTAATAAGAGTTTGTTTGTAAGTTTTTAAAATATACCCCTAAATGAGGCATAGGGTAAACACTGAAGCTAATAAACCTTAGCCAATGTATGAAAGATTCGGCCCATTACCTTTAGGAAGCATCATGAGCAGAATCCCGCTGGCTTCCTCAACTCTGTTACATCTTTAGTAAGAAGCAGATAGTTCCATGACTACCGTTGCCAGAAGATGTCTGAACCTAAACTGAAAATGGAAACCTCATTGTTTGCAAGACCCCCGGGAAAAAAAATGCAAAATCTGTGGTAGATCGGCTCTTTGAACAAGTGTTTCAGAAATGATCAGTAAGGACTTGGCAACAGTTGGGTGTCCTTGGCCCAGAGTGCTATAAACAAAAATACCTGCGTATTGAGCTTTTCTCCTTTTACATGAGATTTTGTGCAGGAGACTTAATTAAAGTTTTTGTCAAAGTGTAAGAAGGTCAATAGGATTGATCCATAACAAGTTTTCAGGGTGAAAATGAAAAAAGCTGTTTGATCTATGTTTTAGGAAAAAAAAAAAAATCAAGCATATAAAGCGTAGTAGGCATACTAACTTGCTAGTGTAAAAGACAACTGATAAACAACTCCATGGTTGTCCAAAGGGCAGCAGAAAATATAAAATCCACAGATTATTTTAGCCATTCTTCTTGAGTTCCAAGGCTGTTTTGTTGTTAGCTGATTTTCTAATAACAAACAAGAGAAAGTGATGGAAAATTTTTCAGCTCTTTCAGAAGGCAGCTCTCTTTCACTACTCCTTTGTAACAAAGCCTCTCAACACACAGCCTCTACATACTCAGTCCCTCATGTCTTCTTCCCTGGAAACTGAACTAGAAAGGAAACTCAAATTAGATTCAGGCAGTGATGAACATTACCATTTTGGTGATCTGAAGCTTGTCAAGCCTTCTTATCCTTTCAGTGAACATCACATTACCCTGCCACTGGACAAAGATTTGATGTGAAATGACACTTCACTGTGCATTTAAAGGACAGACAGACTGTTCTGCCTTAGATGGGAGGAGAAAGAACAGAAGAGAAAAAAGGATTATTCGTGTTCATGGACACAGGCAAACACCAGCACTTCTCTACATATCGATTTTGTACCCTTCTGCACAGCCTTTTTTTTGAGAGTGTTGGGACATGACAGAAGTAAACGTCAGTGAAATAAATCATTTGGTTTTAAGGAATTCAAGACAAAGAATAAAAAGAAATTCAAGTGATTCAAGAAATGCATTCAGGGAAACATTTTAACCTAGAAATTAGCCACAAGAAAATTGTTTGGGTATGTGAAATAACATCCAAACTACATTTTAATTTTTATTGATCCCATTAAATCTTGAGTCCATCCTTTCTATACAGAGTAATTTCCAGTGCAGAATAGGTTCTTCTGTTTGCAGAACAGGTAATAGAAGGAAAAAGACGATCACAGCTTTATTTGGTGGGAAAATCTCAGCACAACACCAGCCTTCAAGCCCACCCCAAGAATGGCACTGAATAATACAGAAATACTTCTCATTTCTGCAGACTTTCAGTGCAGAATCTGGAAATACTTTAAGGTATCCATTTCTTAAATTTCACTAATGAAATGATAGGGGCATGCACATCTTCTGGATTTAAAGAAACAAAAAACTATGTAAAGATACGTGGTTACATTCCTTTTTGGGGAGAGAAGGGAAAATGACTAACTTCAAGTCTTTCTTACAGGACTATTCAGATGTCCTTTTTCTGCAATCTGAGTTTTTGATATCCATCTTCATTGCACCCTAATTTTACCATGGTTTTGTTCCTCCATTACCCAGGTGAAGCAGGTTTGGCCCCAGTCTTTCCTCCTGCCACTTCACCCAGACACCCCTCAGCAGCCCAGATAATTTCTGTGGTGATGCAGGTTTTTGAAAAGAAATCAGAATCCCCACAGTGCAAAAAGAAGAGCCGGCCAGGACACAGCCATATCCCTTAAGTCAGTATCAGCAGAAGAGACTCAAAGTGATGCCAGGCTCCCTTGCCCACTTGCTGCAGTACTTCACCCACAGCAGCACAGCAGTTCCTGGTGCTGCACTTGGCTCAGAGCAGAAAGGGGCATTGCAAGGTGAGGAAGGAGCAGAAGGAAGAAGTGCTTGCCCTGCTTTGAGAGAAGGGGCTCACGACTTTACAGAGCTGCCCCATTGTTTAGGAAGAGTTTCACAGAAAACTCTGATTAAACCTGCAAAGCTGCTGGGAAGAGCTGCCCAGTGTCACAAAATGAGTGGGCTGAGCTGGAATCTTTCTCGTCCGTTCTTCTGTTTGCTTAGTTTGCTCAAGGAGTTTTCAGGACCATCCACCTCTCTGAAACGCTATCCCTGTGTCACAACCACTTCATACAGGCTGTACGTTTGACAGTTTCTCTGTCACAGATAAGCAGCAGGTATGACAGCAAGCACTATCATGCCATATGCTTCATTTTCTTAAGTGAAAAAAAATGGTGCTGATTCATCAGTAAGAGCAGCTATTTTCTCGAACTGCAAAGCTTGCTTTCACTAGGTGTCAATACGTCAAGATACCAAACCAAGATGGGCCATGCCTTCACCTCTGTCAGCTGATTTGAACTCCCAAAAAAGCAAAAAAGGAACTCTGTCTGGTCAAGGTGACTGCATGGTGTACTGCTGCCACAGCACCTTCCATCACATCTGTCTCTCCCACAGGCCTCGCTTGTGAGAAAAGAAAGGAGCTGCATAACATACCATGGTGTCAACTCAGACCTTCTAACATTCCTCCATTAACTTCAGTAGGTACATTTCCCAAATTCAATATATACCATGAATTAAACAGCTAAGAATTGTGAGCTGCCCTTGTAATTTTTTCTGCCTACAACTCAGAATGAAATGTACTCCTTATAAAGGGCACTTAATGACTGGTCCTAGAATTGGACAAGTTGGGGGACCTTCCCATTGGCCTGGAGACTGTAGTAAGGTGATGCTCAGAGTCTCAAATTCAGTTTCAAATGCACTGTTTCGCTGGCACAGCCTCTCAGCTGACTTCATTTTTTACCTTTGTTGAAGAGTGAAGTGACCATTCTGTTCCAAATCTCCCCACCTTCCTCTACACATTTCCTAAAGCATTTTTTCAATGCAGAAAAGTGGTTATTGCACTCTGCACATGCTTGTGACACTTGGCTTCAAAGAAAGAACTGCAAACCCCTCTTCCTGAAGCAAAACAGTTAATTACACTAAGCTAGTTAATAGCCTTTCATCATCAAGGACTGGTTCTTCCGCACACACAGGGACAGAATCCATTAATTTTTATGTATATCCTTTTATTTATCTTTCTCCTACCAGCTGTATGATAATTTATTCTCTGTCACTGTTCTTAACTCGTGAGTTCATTTAAAGTGTGATAGCAGTAGAAATATATTAACAGTTTCCAGAGAATAAAATCTTTCTGAAAATGGAATCCAGCACTTTACTTTTACAAATACAGAATTTAAACCTTTTGCACTTAGCTTAATTAATTAAGTCCATACGGAAATCACCCAAGCAGCGCTGTATGGCACAATGTGTATGCTGATACCTAATTATCATCAATTCAGGCAGAACAAAGAAGCCAGAAAATTGCCTCAATATAAAAGGTATGTTGGGATTGGCCAAGGAGCGAGCAGAGCAGCCCCACACCAACAGGGGCTGCTTCGAGGTTTCTGGGCTGTGATCTCTCAAGCTAAGGCTGCTGCAGCCAGAAGGAACAGACACTGTCTTTTTCCCATCTATCCCTGCACGCGCATCCCACCTCCTCTTCTATGTCATACACTGTTTATTTAGTTTACCGATTCAGCTGAAAAGTGAACAGGTTTGGAAAAGCCTGGCAGTGGAAAGTAAGCCCGTGGAACTGCACCTTGGGCCACCACAAGGTTCTGAGATGTCAGAGAAGTACCCCGACGACCTTCCAGGGCCATGCTGCCTCGTGCCACAGCCAGGGCAGGATGCGAGGCCCTGAAGAACAGCCTCATCCATGCCCCAGCACACTTACCCTGGGTTGCTGAGCTCTGCAGGGCTTCTGTGAGCTTTCAGCATTCAGCTCCCTGTTGGTTTTACACACCAGTAACACAGCCGTCAGCAATGCTTTTGCAGCATGCAGAAGCGACAGCCTCTTCTCTCTTGGGAAGCGAGTTTGTAAAAGAATTCTCCTTTAGCCGCCAGTCCTGCCAGTCAGCACGGCAGGGACACCGTGCGCCCCGCCCTCACGGCAGCCACGTTGCGGGGCCCGGGCCTCTCGCCCTGTGGTGAGGCAGCATCCTGGGCCCCGTCGCGTGGTGTGGGCAGCCTTTTCAAACCGATATTTTCGCTCCTCCTTTCTCCTCAGCACCTTCAGTGTCATTAGGAGTAGTTAGAAGATAATTAGTCAGGAAAAAGCTGTCCGATTCTTATGTAAAAGAGCCACTTGGCAGAACAGCTTCCAGAAACAGCCGCTGCTTGGTGTAAACGGCCTTGCAGAGCACGGCAGCGCCAAGCAGAATCAGAGATGGCAGTCAGCTCCTGAGCTGCAATGAAGACAGGAGGGACAAACTGACATAAAGCCCTGCCAAGCTGAGAACTGCCAGTCTCCCCCAGTGGCTGTGGAGGGCTGCAGGGAAACCTCTGATATGAGCAAATAAGCAAAAGAAAACTGAACGTGGGGAAAAGTTAGGAAAAGATACACATCCACATTCCATCCTAGCAATCATTATTATTGATTTCACTGCTGTCTTTAAGGGATGAATCTATTACAGGAACCAGTACTTGGCAAAATTACAAAGAAACACATGCTTTCCCATAAGCAGCTATAGACAATTGCCCATCTCTATTTGTTTGTTATAACTCTCAAGATCCAACCACTATCTGGAAAAAACATTTCAATATTGACATCCGCTTTAAGCAAACATGTAGTTAAGGAGGAAAAAAAAAAAAGAAAAAGAAAGAAAGAAAGAAACCAGTGAGAGAGGAAGTATAAAGTAAATTCTTCTAATTCTCTTTCTAGTTAAACAGGTATGTTTTCACGGCAGCACTGGGTGGAAACTTTCTGCTTCCAACAAGAAGAAACTAATATGCAGTAGTCAGTATCCTAGTGGAGAATAAATAGGTACCATATTATGTATAGAAAAGTATCTCAGTCTTCTTGTTCACCTGTCACACCCTTGCTGATAAACAGTTAATTCAGTAGAGCATTTAAAGGTCAAAGGTTTCTCAATTTTAAAATTACAGTTCTATTAATCAGCCTGCTTTGTCTAGGATTGATTTGTATTTTTAAATAAAAGAGATGTAAATCCCAGAGTTTATTACATAGGCCTTACAGTGATTTTATTAAACATGTCTCAGATGGTTTTCCTCATGTCTAAAAGTGTGGCTGTAAAGTCACCTGCCACAACTAACTCAGAAAGAACCCACTGTGTACAAGCTGGTCAATTCCACATGGCTCCATCTCGCTCAAAGCATGTTACACACCTATATGAACCAAAATGTTCATCTTCAGTTATTACACAGTTGTACAACATAGCTGCCCTAAGAAAAACAAGAGACGTTTTTTTTAGTTCAGTTCTGTGTACCAGACCAAAATGCAAAAGCACTTTCTTTTATTTATTCCAAGATCAAACTCTCGGAGCTTTTCAGGTTAACTAGATTATTTCTGAAATTCTGTTCGTATATAATAGAAAATTGCTGCATTTCAGTGTAATTCTTGCTTCTCCAAAATGCAATGTCAGTAAAGCAGGGCTGTAGTAACAAAGTAAAGGGCTGTACTAACATGGAAGTAGGCAGTAGCACAGGCCCACCATGTGCTGCCATAGACATCAAATTAAATACAATTATGGAAAACCTCTAAGGAATTTTATAAAACATAATGGGCTTTTTAGAACTGATTATTTAGAGCAAGATTATTTTTCTTCTAACTAGTACTACAAGTTTCAAGAATTTCAAAGCTATCTCAGTCTCTTTTGAATTCCATCTGCTTTCAGAATCACTTCTATAAAATCCTGTTTCGGCCCAGTGTTAGCCAAAACCTTTCTCAAGTACCCAAGTTTAAACATCTGACTTGCACCACCCCAGCTCCTGAGAGCACTTCAGCTCATGTTAATTTTAAGCACATGTTAATTTCAAGCACATACTGAAGGCTCTCCTGAGCCAATGCTAGTAAGAGCTGTGGCTGTACGTCCTTGGCAAGGGGATTTCTTCAGATTCAAAGCACTTGGACCCTGTTTTTACTAACATTGCAATAGTCTGCCTTTGCCCCCTGACAGAAGATGAAAATCCACATGGCTGTTAGCTGGAAGGGACCATGAACCCTGCCGAAGCAGCTTTAGGTCCCACATGTGCCACTGAAGGCATATTTCTACCACTGCCACCCCTGGCACTTCTCTACTACCCATTTCCCTTACCAAGTTATACGTGTTGCAGCTGCATCTCCATATCTGCCTTTCTGCATACAGAGAGAGATGAACCACAGCAATAAAAATGAATCTGAGTTTACGAGCAATATTGTTTGCTCCTAATGTTTGGAAGCATTAATATTTTAGAATTTACTTCATCCCTTCAAAAAAGCAGTCTCTGCCTCAAATAGATTCATAGCATAAGAACTTCAGTTTAAGCTGCCCAAAAATTAGAAAGCAATCCAGATTCCACAGTTGCCTGTTTTACAGCACAATGGTTCATCACATATAGGATTGTAAAACTGCACTCCTATGTGCGGGCAATTTTAACACCTGGGGAAGGCAGGAAGCTGAGCTGTACAGATCCATGCTCAAGTTTCATGCCCGTGCAGAACAATCTTGAAACAGGATTGCCAGCAAACCCTATGCAAATGATAGTAAGTTATGCACTTTCACAACTTTTTAATTAACAACAATCACGATGACATCCATGCTAGTGAATAAACGGTGGTGTTCTGTCACACAGTTGTTAGTTTTCTCCTCGCAGCTCAACTTATTTGAGTGCTTTTGCAAGGAACTCCAGCATGTCCTACTGGGCAGCAGAACACACAGAGAGAAGAAAGCTGTTAGCAAGTCAATCTTAACGTGATTTATTTCCAAGTGGCAGATACCAAGCAGGTAGTATATATTTATCATTTGGACAAGGCCTCAATAAAGACAAATTTGGACTGTGAGTATTTCTAAGAAAGAGCTCAGCTACAGATACACCAAAGCTCACTTTGCTGCTTAATTAGACGCATGCTTCAGCTGGTCTAGCTGGAGGTTTTAATATAGTTGATGTTTGTATTCAGATATGAATTTTACTACTAGCAGTTTAAAATATGAGTGCATTGAGGCCAAAGAGTGCAAAATCCTTTTCAGACTGTGTTTCCAACACCAATAATTAGTAGACATTACACATCAAAACACAGTTCCTGAGACAATAATTAACGTCTATTTATTTCCTGAATAAAGGTACTGTAAAATCTCATTAAAATACATGAGCAGCATTGAATCCTGTTGAAGACTCGGAATAAATGACCAGTTTAGGACAATACAAGCAAGGTGTTGGAAGTATTTCTGGTCACCGTGAAATGGGGGAGGGGAGTGGGAGAAGCAAAGCGGGGTAGAGGAAGAAAAAAGCAGGAGCAAGTTTCATTTTGCTAAAAGAAAATAATACACTAAGCTTTCTTTTGTCTATGCCTACTAGCTGGCTATCCATCATAAAAATCATCTATTATTCACTGTAATTTAAAATATTTTCTGTGCTCTGTGGTATAGTTCCCCAGTTTCTTTGAGACTAACCTAGAGTCAACCTAATAGTCATGCACAGATAATCTTTCTTTCAAGTCAATGGGAGCTCTGGGAGCACACAGGTTGCAGAAATGAGGCTGAGCAACTCCATGGGATTTAAATACACATGTTCCATCAAAATGAATGAAAGGTAAACCTCCTGTGTGGCTTGAAAATCTCAATTACTGTTCTGAACTTAATTCAGTGATAAAAGTTCCCATCGTTCATCTGCTCAATAATATGTGGAGCTGCCATAGGACAGCATGCTCTGTGGTTGTCTATTAGCTTTGTAAAATACAAACATAACCAACCTGACTCTAATGTCAAATCTCAGTTATAAATAATTCTGTTCTACCAAGTGACTGCCCACGTGTCCAGCATTACACACGTAATGAAAATCAAGTTCTTTGCTTGCCTACTCTGCCATCAACCAGGAATAACTCATCTGATGTCAAGGGAGCCACGTGGAGTAAACTCAGTTCAAGTGCAAAGAGGAAAAAAAAAAAAAGGAAGCGTCTGATCTGTGATTTCTCACAAACTCCTGAACCCACTGTTCTTCTAAAGGCAAAAAGTTGCCTTAATTCCTGTCCTTTCACAGGTATTGTTAGAACAGCCTTTCTAAAGAGAGTTTGCAAAAGCAAGGATGCCAACCCACTGCAGAGGAGCACAAAAATATCCTGAGCACTTTCCCAGTTCTCACAGTTCCCATCACTAACAACATGGATGTCTGAAGGGAATCTAGAGCTTAACTGCACCAGGTACTTACTAGCTGGAGAGCTGGCAAGCACCCAGACCAGACCCAGCAAGCCTTCTGCTGGGGATGACAGATCCACTTCCTACATAAACTGCAAGCCATATTTACAGCTGTTAGGTCTTCTTAAAAATACAGAAGCTTGACGATATATTTTAAAACAGCTCCTAGAAAAAAAAGAAAAAAAGATTTTTGCTAGCGTATACTGTTCTCATGTGCTTCCCTCCAACCCCTTTTTGAGTGAAAAATCAAACAAGAAATCTGCACAGGGCTACATAGAAGTGTTCTTTGCACCAAGAGCCCAAAATATTTAACGTGATGTGATTCAGACAGGTTGTACAGGTAAACAGCCCTTCTCCTAGTGACTGCCTAGTGCCTCCCCTAGCCTGAAGAAAGCCCTGTTTTCTAAAACCTTTTAGGCACCTCGAAGTATTATAAGCAGTAATAAGCTCTTATCAAGCTTGTGTTGTAGCACATCTTCTTCCTTAACAAAGGAGACCAAAAAGACTTAGGAAACCTCAGGGAGAAATGGCTCTGGGTAAGGCCTAAACACAAAAGCTGAATACTCTCATGGGAAAGGAGAGACAAAGGAAAACACAAAGGATAAGCTTCTGTACAAGTTAACAGAAAGAGAACCTAACAAGCAGCCATATTTCAGGTTATCACAAAACTCACGTAAATGCATTAAGTCATTTATTTCTGAAAAGAACATGAAGATTAACCCAGCCCATCTTGTTACCTGCATGGTGCTCATTAGTTTCACTGAGAATTCACAGCAGAAAAACAGCAGCTGGAAAGGCTGCCAAAGCCTAAAGGAGCTGCCTAAAGCCAGGGTAGACTTGACTGAAGACCTCCACCTGATTCTTCTTCACAGGAGGAATGCAATTGAAAAATTCCAGCCTGACAGGTAATTTGCATTGTTGAATGATTACATATAATTTAGCAGCTTTTTAGCTTTCCTTGATGCATCTGTGTTAGGCAAGTGTGGCAACACAGGTCAGCTAACTTAAGCTAAATACCTCAAAATGCAAGCAAAGGGGAATTTTTATTTTATTTTATTTTTCTTTTTTATAAAAAACACATCAACAGGCCTTCAATGTCAGCATTAAAATTCTGTGGTCTAACCTCACTAGGCAACAATTGTGGAATGCCAGGTGTCAGGCGGATCGGGAACTGTAATGATTTATACAGCCAAAGAGTTTTTCATCTCAGCATTTACTGAGAATTTTAAAAGCACTCTCCCTTTTACCACGGATGGATCTTAAAAATAGTAATCACCGCCTGGTATACTTCACCAACACTTAAAAAAACCCAACCAGACGAGGTTGTACTTTGCATTGAGGCAGAACATCAGTAGGAAAGGAAGTACTATGTACTGTGTGCTAATGTAAGTAGACACATGGAAAGAGAAAGACATGAAACAGTTTAGAGGGCATTATATAACAAATGTTGGCAAGAGTTGGCTTTTTAACAGCAGTGGCTTCAGGAATTGGGCAGGAACCCATTAGCTAGCAGGTGCTGAGATGAGAATAAATTGCTTATCTGTCCCCGCTGCTCAATCTCAGGAGAGATGCTGTATCGTGTCATTCAACTTGCTGATCTCTTCAGACAGATTTTTCCAGTGAAAAAAATGTAGTGCCAAAAGTATTGGTTTACTAATAGGGAAACATAGCTTCTCTGAATTGACATTTCTATATGCTGAGCACATAGGGATCCCCTTGGGAAGACACAAGTAGCGACTGTTTTCTGATTAATTAATCCACACATCTCTTCTTTCAGCTACATCTGTATACATCAGTACTGACATCAAGTTGTCTGTTAACTTCATCAGAAGTATTTCCTTTCCCTGAATTTCCCAGGGGTGTATCAGTACCTGCTTCCCTAAATAAAAGTGGCAGGCAGATGCAAAGTGGGTATCAACTGACTCTCCCATTCAGCATATCTACCGTGCAGACAAGAGTTCAAAATGGTTATTAAAAGGTCAGAGAATCTTCCAATTGACAAGGCATCAAGTTCAGGTGATGCTCATTCAAAAGTGCTAATAGAAATGGGGACCAAAATTGGAAAACCTGCAGGAGACATTTTGACAAGCTCAACCAAATAAGGAATCCTGGAGGACTAACATAAAACTGTGTTTTAAAATGACCCAAAAACAAACAAACATAAGAAAATATTTACAGACTATTTTTCAAGAATATTTTGAGCATTATTTTCATGGTTCAGAACATAGAGAAGTCAGGCTACTTCAGTATCTCGAGCAGATGATACGGTTCCAAGAAAGCACAAGCCTCTCTTTTTTTGCTGCCTCCTGCTCCTTGCAAACTAGGTCTTTGCTTTCTTAGTAGAAGAAAAACCCTGTTAGAGGGATCACATTTAATGAAAAGGGGCCAAAATGGAATTCTGACAGCATCAGATGTCAGGAGTTGATGCCACTCCTTATATATTATTGTATTCAGAAAATCCTACAAGTACTCAGCCAGAGAAAATTCCCTGACTTAAAATCAATACTACACTGAAGTCCTTTATCCTGCCAGTAATTGCTGTTTGCATGCAAAGCTGATGCATACACCTTCAGTGGGAGGAAAATTAGTAAGAGTTTCCCTATATTGACAGAAAAAGAATGAACTCAAGTATCTGTTCCTAACACTTTTTTCAGGGATGGATTGTGAGGAAATGGTAATGGCTGCAAATCTTGCCGTGAAAGCCATGCAGAACAGCACGTTTCGTTTCTTCAGTGAACTGCAGATCTCTAGATTGCAACTGCCTGCATAAATCACGTCAGCCCATTCTGCTGTGTTCACATGTAATTCCTTATGTATGTGCCCAAAACATGCAGTTCTTGCATGCTGTAGAGGGATGCCCCATTACCTTAAGGTACACAGGGAGGCATCAAGCTAGCGATCAGAATGGAAACCACAAATACCTATATAGAGACAAGTTCTTCTAACAAAATCTGATTAAATGAAGAGATGAACATTTTAATGCTTCTCTGAGCTGCCCAGACTGTGTGAATTTAGAAAAACTGGTCAGGAAGTACAGCTATTACTAAGGTCACTGGTGTGAGGATAGGTGTCTTTTCTGAGAATAGCTAAACTATCCACATTTCAAGTTCTTGCTTCATAGACATCTCATTTCAATCTCATTCGGATTGGATGGGGCCCTGGGCAGCCTGGTCTAGTATTAAATGGGGAGGTTGGTGGCCCTGCATGTGGCAGGGGGTTGGAGATTCATGATCCTTGAGTTCCCTTCCAACACTGGCCATTCTGTGAATCTGTGATTCATTTTTTTCCTGTTAACAGGCACTGCGCCCTGTGGCACACTGGTGAGGCTACATGTATGCACCACACTCCCTGCAAAAAATCTAAATCCCACATTGCTGCAAACACCGATTTACTAAGTAGGTTCACAGGTCAGTACGGGAAACTGCCCGAAACATCAGCTGCAGAACATCCAGAGAAGTTTGTTCTGCTTTTGTTCTGACAAAATGACCAAATTTCAAGGAGCAGAATTGCAGCATTTTTTCAGAAAGATTCACTGTTACTAATTGGTAATGGACAGAAGATGAGGTGCCATACCGAAGGCTCCTGTTGTAGAAGGGCCACCCTCAATAGCCTGTGCAAAGGGGGTCGACTCCATCCTCCTCAGATCCACTTGCTCTTTCTGTAGGAATACTATTCCTGTGTGGCAGTGCTCAGGCCACAAGGCAACAGCTCCTCCCCACCCTGCAGATTGACTTTGGTTTAAAAGAAAGACAGCAAAAAGAAAAGACACCAAATTCTACAGATCACATCTATCCCAAAACTTCATAGGATGCTTGCACACACTATAGAAATTGCAATCTATTCTCTATAGCATTTTCACCTGGGCTGCACAGATTGTTGGCTTTGCAGTTGGCTATATGGTGGGGGGCATTTGATCACCTCAGGCTGGAAGATCGAATTTCTCTTTTGTTCCTCTGTGGCTGCAGGGCTGTATTAAGCTGTATTTTTTAGTCAGCCGTTCCACAGCTTCTGCAGAAGTATGTAATTTCCACCAGCACCTTTAATGCCAATGTTGTTTAATCCATTCCCGAATCACAATGAAAAGGAGTTTAGAAGCAAATGAAAGGCACCTGGATGAATAAGGAAATGGAATATCACTATGTCAAAGCCTGAATTAGTCACTGTGCCTGCATGCGTGTTGTTTATTATAGTTCTGACTATTAAAAATATGCCAGAGCACCGCACTGGTGGAATCAGAGCTTGTGGACTTCGTGAGCTCTCTCAGTGAATCAAAATCAGACAATCTCCTCTGCTAAATAACTCTGTGCTGATGTGCTCTGAAAATGCAGAGACTCAGCTCCTCACTCTGCTTGCTTATCACCTAAAGTGGGCTGGTATGGAAAGAACATTTTGGCTTTGAATCTAAATGCAAAGGCAATAGACAAACATCCAAGAAAAAGCCAGTGCTTCATGGGAAAGCAATCAGGTCCGTAGTTTCTCAGGCTCACTAAAGGACCACTGGCATTCAGTTTTTGGGAAGAACTGGTTTGTTTGCTTTTCTCTATTTGATAGAACAAGATCAGATGCTTTCATGTTATGCTCAGGTGTTCAAATAGATGACCTCTCTCTGCTCAAGGGGGAGCCCTTCAGCTACTAGAAACACTCTAGAATTTGAGAAGTTACAGAGGGAAACTTGGGATTTGAATCCAGCTCATCTAAACACCCACCATCACACCTTTTTCTAGAGCAGTATGGCTCTGGGGCTCTGTAGGGTTCTGAAAGCTCTCATCTTGATCTAATTTGGCACACACATCAGTTGGAAATAACTCCTGGGATGTCAGTAGTAGTTACTTGTAGCCATGTCCATTATATTACGAACACCATGTGTCCAAAGCAAGTATGAAACACTTCCAGAAACCATTCTTCTCTCTGTTGGAACAAGATGGCATTTCAGACTCACTCAGAACTGCCTGCTGCACAGGACCATAAAGAATCAGTTCCCTAAGGGGAAAAGTATTCAACTTTCTGCACTTACTAGCTCAAGAAAACAAGAGATTCTGGCAATTAAGTGTTTCAGGAACAACTGAAACTATTGAACTCTTCCCATGAATCATAGAGTCATTTGAATTTGAAGGGCCTTTAAAGGCCATTTAGTCCAACTCCTCTGTAGTGAGCAGGGACACCCACAGCTCCACCAGGTGCTCAGAGCCTGGTCCAGCCTGACCTTGAGTGTCTCCAGAGATGAGCCACCCATCACCTCTCTGGGCAACCTGTGCCAGTGCCTCACCACTGTTGTAAAAAACTTCCATACAACCAAACTAAATCTCTTCCCTTTTAGTTTGAAACCATTTCCCCTTGTCCTGTCATAGCAGGTCTCGTTAAGGAGTCTGTCCCCTTCCTTCTTACAGCCTCCATTTAGATTCTGATAGGCCACCTTCTGGTGCCCACAGAGCCTTCTCCTCACCAGGCTGAACTGCCCCATCTCTCTGAGCCTACCCACACTGTTTGGAGAAGATCCACAGTGTTTGATTTGGACATATTCCTCTTCCAAGTCCTGTAAAAACCATCAAGAACGGTACCAACAGATGATGTCCAAAGCCGACTTTGTGAATTGATACCCCATTCTGCTTTGCCATCAGGCTAAAGTCTGAAGCATGCAAAAAGTAGAGACAGAGACTATGGCACAGAAAAGGATGAAGTGAGTGGGGAGTTAAACAGGATATGTTATTCCTATTTCCCATGTTGTACTGTATTTTATTTAATTTTTAATAAAGGATGGGAGACAACAAAGCTGAATAGAGCAAGAAGAAAAAACAAAGCTTGTTATGTACCTAGCAGAGGTTACTAGACTAGAGATGTTTCTGAGAGAAATGGGGAACCTGCTCTTGACCTTGTTCTGATGGGAC